CACCGGGCTGCCGGATGGCTCCTTCCCTCAAACGCGCTTGCGGGATCTCCATCATTAAAGCAAGCTTTATTAGTGCCGCGGTGGGGAGTTGGGGGTGGGAATAAAAAGGAAAAATCCAGCACGTGGTAGAGCATGAAATCAAGGTGGCGGTCGTGGTGGGGGAGAGAGTTTCTTGCAGTCAAGGAGAGAAACGTTTGTAGTTTGGGTGAGGATTTTAGCATCTGGTCCGGCGTCCCCCTCCCCCCTGCCCGATACGCCACCTCTGCTTCAAAATTCAGAATATAGCGCGCTCCTTCCCCTCCGCCCCTTCGCCGCGGAGCTGACGGCGGCTCCGAGGCGATTGCACAACGCTTGGAAACTCTGCCTTGGAAGTGGGGATTCGGGAGAGGAGCTGATGCCCTGCTGCCCTGTAGGATCAGAGTGCGCCTGCATCAAATCCTCAGCGTGGAGGGGGCAAAATTTGGAGTCTGCAAAGCAAACGGATGAATGGGATTTTTAGAAAAGCTGCTTCGCTTCAGTTTGCTGGTGGCGGGGGCGGAGGGAAGGAAGGAGCTGTCTGACTTTTAAAATCACTGCAATTCTTACTTAAAGAGGAGCATAAAAACATGTAGACCCGCAGTCATTCCAGGGCGATGATCTGGCATCGCTGAGCGCACAAAAAATCCTTGACAGAATCTCCGCTTTTTAAAACGGCAAAGCCTGTCACAGTCCCACTCTGACAAAAGCCACTCGGGGAAGGCAACACGACTGATGGCACTTCCGTTAGAGCGCACGTAAACCGGGGGGTCATCAAAAATATACTGAGACAGGCAGGAGGCACTTGAAAAAGAGAGGGCTCAACAGTTTGAAAACTCAAGAGCAGGCGTAGCGAATTGTTTGTTATCGAGGAAGAGAAAGTGAAAGGCTTTTCCAGATATTTATGAAGTTCACAACTGAAACCGTGACCTCTCTCACTCGAAATGTTGTGAGCTTGGTAAAGTGGTAAGCAACAGAAGCTGCTTTTAAAAAATAACCCTGAAGGATACCATCATTTTCTTGATTGGCCGTTACATTAAGAAACATTTACAGTAATTCAGAATGGGTTTGACTGAATTTCATCTTACGTAGCTGGTATACGGGCTGAAAACTCTTCCAAGATTAAAAGCCGTATTTTGTTAAAACACTGGTGGCGAAATCTATTGTTGCACCTTCAATACATTTTATGAAATAAAAGGAATTATCTGATTTCATGAGGTGTATGAGCAATACTAAAATTTGAGTCCCCATTACTACTGGGAAAATAACTGGATGCCTGTCGGTGTAAAGATTAATTGTATTTGTCAGTCAGCCTAAAGCTGAAGGAAGAAAGGAAATCAGCCCCTTTCACTGTCAGGGAAGTATCTGTATCGCTTTCTGTTTATTTCATTTTGCAATGCAAACCAAAAAAAGCCAGTGGGGAATGTCACAAACCTTACCCTGAAGTGGCTGGAGCCTTCCACTGGATTTAGTGGACAAGGGTTCGAGCCTTTAGCCATGGTGACGCTTATCTTGCGCTGTACTCCGAGCCTCACTTTCTAAGACTTTCTGAAGATCAAGGCAGGTAACTGTTTCCTCCTCCCTTTCCCGAAGAAAAAAATACTATCTCCGTTCACACAATTGCGAATCTCTGAAACTGAAAATAGGCATCTTTTGACAACAACTGGGTAGCTTTGGTTTTTCTTCAGGAAAAGCCCGAGTTTTGGACTGAACGTTTAACCCCACCCCTTTATTAATCCTGAACTCTGGTGCTAGGTATTTAATGCCCTTCTAATGTATGGTAGCAAGAACTATTTTTAAGTCGCTGCATTTCTATATTTGTCATCCATAATCGCCCCTCATTTGATTAAAAATCACCCCCTTTATTTCTCATTAATCTGCTTTTTTTAAACAAATTGCTGTACTTGAAAGAATTTCATCTACGCCTTCCCCACTTTTTAGAGACATATTCATCACACTTGGAACTACTTCAATAGGCGTTTGTATAAAATCCTAATAGTAAATAACTAAGAAGTGACGAGAGACTGTTTAAGTTTCAGCGCCAGCATTCTGAGACAATTATTAATGCTCTTGCTTATTTACAGATATATTTCCTCTTCTTAAGCATATCACTTAAGGCCACAGAATGTTCACTGTTTTCTTGAGCACTGAATCTGTTCCGCATTTCAGAGCTGAATTAACCTTAGGCTACCCCTTTCTTGCACTACTTCGCTTTTGTTCCTGAATGTTTGAGATCGGGAATGTTGATTCATAAAAATGAGTTTGTATCACTTATCTGCCAAACTAGCAACTGTTGCTCAGCCACATAGATACTCTGAAAATTTACCAGCAGAGATACCCCACTTTGCTTATTTGTCATGATGGCGGGAATGTAATTTTTTAAATTATAAACAAAAATCCAGAGGGCAAGTACAATTTTGGATGATGGATTGTGTATTTATCCCTGTGGTTCTTCTTTTTCCCTGGAATTCACATATTGCAGGGGAATGGGAGGGTAGAAATATTTTGCGCTGTGCTCTCCTCTACTTCTGTTTGGGATTGAGAAAGCAAGGTGAACCGTGCTTTCGTAGTAGTTTTGTATACGCTGTCTGACTTACAGCTTTCTTTTGCCCTAACCCAGGTTTTAAGCAGTTTGGGAGGTTCCTTTGAAGATACTGAATAGGCTGCTACAGAACAGGGTGAAATTGTCAACTGCTCTTGTTGTACAGGACTGGGAAATACTGTTTGCTTAGTCACCAAGCCCTGCGTACTACAGCTGTCAGTGTCTCCAGGTTTTGTAGGCGCTCTCTCATTATCTTCAGAACATTCCTTTCAACCTGCCTAGGCCCAGAAGTGGGTCAGTGAACTAGCCTGCGAGTTGAGGAGTGATGCGCACAAATCTTTAGATGTTAAAGTTTTGCAGTGAATAATGGCATCTGCATCCTTGCCTTTGTAACTCAGCTCTGCGTACGTCAAGGATGTAGGAGTAAAAAGATGATACTAAATTTGAGGATAAGTTCCAAATAAAATCGCTTATTTTGAAGTGCACTAATGGTCAGAATTAATCTTGTGTGCTAATGAGGTGCGGATGAAAACCATGCTGAGTGTATAAAAAACATATTCTTGGAGTGCTTTGTTGCTTTGTGGTACGAGTTGTTCTATATGGGATATTTTGGATTTTTCTAATGCCTCCCCTTCTCATTACTTGCCTGTGACTTTTGAGGCCATTTTATTTCTGGTTTGTATAGAGTAGGTTTTGAGTCTCAGACGATGCAGAACACATCAAATGCAAAATTACTACTGCGATTGTCTAAGTTGGCTTACTTAGGCCCAAGTTTTCTTAAAACTCGAGTCAGGAGAAAAGCATATTGATGCCTATATAGAAAGTGTAATCTAGGTTTACTGAGAAAGACGAAAAGAAAGTGAATCTGGTAGCCTTAAGGAAGCCTAAAACGTTATGGCAAAAAAAGGATCTGTATTATGCTGAAAAGACCAGGGGAAGGCTGAGTACTGTTGAAGGGATTCTTCTAAGCACTACAGATATTCAAACATTTAATTGTGATAGATAAATATATGTTACAAGTAATTTTGATTCCGATTAAAATCTCAGGTAATTAAACACATGCTTCCAGGCGTAAGAAAGCTTTTTTTTTTTTTTTTTTTAAAAGTTTGACAGGGAAAAATGCTTTTATATGATGCAGATTTCTAAGGAAAAGCTAGCAGGTAATAACAACTATTCAGATTTTTGACTGTATTTACAATAGTATCATATAGAAATATTGCTGTTAAACCTACAAAAACATTTCAGGAATCCAGTGTTTCAATAGCTGTTCTGCTGGTTTTTGTTCATTGACAGATCACATGAAAAGAAAACAATACTCTTTTTTTCCAGTGTTTTAAGGTCTTTTATAACCTACCTATTCTCAACATGCAAGCAGTAAAAAGTTACATCTCCAGGGAGTTTATTTTAAACACATCTAAATATCATAAATCATATGTACATGTTTGAAATGGTCTCTAAAAAGCAGGTCATTTTGATAAATGATTATAAATACTGTGAAATCATGGGTTTTGAGAACTTCTGATTGGTTTCTGAAACACATCAGTAAGAAAAATGAGCTGCACACTTGTAGTCAGAAAGAACTGTGTAACTGATTCATCAATATGTCTGTGCTTTTCAGCGTGGTTGTAAACGGAAGTAAGAAAAATACATAATAAAGCATAGTTTTTCTGGAAAGAGTTAATTTGTTTGGTAGCCAGTATCAAAGCATCATTTACCATTAAACCCCCCCCCCAAACAATAAAAAACACCTCTGTAGATTTCATAAATGAAACAAGTTCAACATCTGATGAATAATAATCATAGTTTTAGGAGAAAACTTTTAAGGCTGATTGCTTAGCAAATGTTGGACTACCTAGTGGGCTACTTGCTAGGTTGTTTAATAGATGAAAATTTGTAATATGTTCACTTTCACTCTCAGGAAATATAGTCAGGAACTTTTCTAGGACTGTAAAATTTTTAAACTCTTTTTACTGATACAGTCTCAGAATTCTTTACCCATAGCCAAAGAGTAATTTTATGTGAACAGAAATATTTAAGTATGGCATCTAATTATGTATTTCTGTCTGTTTATATGTATCATTCACTAGAATTTACACTCCCCCCCGCAACCCACCCTTTTAGAAACATCGGGGTCCCAATACAGACATTCACTTGGAGCACAAATGTTTTTGTGAGAAGGTCTATTGACTTTAGTGGAACTACTGAAGTGCTCAAAGTTTTTTAAGCCGTTGGAGCTTAACTCTGTTACTCTGTTTTAAATCTTTGGCACAGAATGTAATTGCATGTTATTCTTTTGTTATTTGGTATTAAGCACTATCAAGGATCCCAGTCTTCAAAGCAAAGTCACCGAGGGGTCTGGATGAGTAAGAAGTGTGGTACTAGAACCAAATGGAGAAGGAGATATGGACACATGGGGATTAAAGATCCGAACGTTCTGGCAATATCTGGAGAAAATGTCACTAAAACTTTTCAAAGAATCACGGTTGTAGTTACCTTTTAGGATTTTTAAACTGCTGTTGCTTGGTAGGGAAGGAAAAATGCTTTATAATTCTTGCAGATCTTTATTGATAAAATATTAGGATTGCCTGATTGTTTGAGCATTGCCAATTCAGCATTATAGATATAAATTGAATTTTAATTTTATTGGTTTTAACACCCTAGGATAAAATTTGTCCTAACATATCTAGCATAACTTCTCTAGTATTTTGCACAGTAAGTAATCAGATTCCAGATTTTTTTTGCCAGACTTGTTGCCCTTTTTAGACATGCTAATTATTTAATAAGTGCTTTTTAATTGAGCCTGTTAGTCTGCATATAGTTTGCCGTTTGGAAATACTCATTCTTTAGTGATGTGATGACTCAACGTGCTGTATCTTTGAAGTCCTCAAGAGTAGGATTGAGCTCTGTGTCTTGAAATTCAAGGGAAGGTGACAACATTATCTTTGCTGCTACCTGCTAATAATCTGATATTGCTCACTGGATTATTGCTTTCAGCAAATACAGTGTTACACAGCGGTGTGAATGGTCGCTGTAGCATGTTTCTTTCAGTAGCAAAATGTATTCTACCACGCAGTTTTGCTAGTCTCTGGAAAGGAAGAGAAATAAATCTGGTTTCCTCTGCTACAATGAGCACAGTTTCAATGCATCAGTAAAATGTAGTTATGGTGGGGTTGGGTTCAATCCTTATTTTTGCTATGTTATCCTGTGTCCTTGTTCCAATACACTTAAGAATGCAACTTGAACGGATGCGAAAGGAAAGTCATATTTTTAAAATACAAATACTTGCATATGACGCTAATAAGGTTTCTAACTAAAATAGTGTGGCGTTAGAGAAGTTTGATGAACAGTGCTTGAGGCTACTTCATTACATCAGTGCACAGCTGGGCACTGAACCCAGCCTTATGACCTGTCTCGAGCCTGTGCCCCGTCCTTTTATGTCTGTTTCCCCAACCCATACAATGGCAAAACCAGTGCTTTCCTTCCATTTGTAAAGTACTGTGAGCTTTTCTTAAACGAAAAGCTTTGTGCGCGTGTGCGCGCGCGCGCTTGCGCTTTTTTTAGTAGGCTTTAAAGACTTACAGATCCGCTTCGCCATCTCTCAAGTACTGCTGGTGGCAGGGTGGGAGCGGGACGGTGCGCAGCCGCCCCGCAGAAAAAGCCGCCTTCCCGTTACGCAGCAGGGCAATCGCATCACCCTTACCAGCGTGAGCTTGTGCGGCTTGTGCGTAGGTGCGCGCAGCAAGAAGTCGTTTGACTTCTGGAGCGAGCGTCTGGGGCCTTTGATGACCGGAGTCTGTTGCATTTAATGAAAGCTTGAATTCAAAAATAGCCTGATGTAATTGTGTTGGATGTACACGGTCTAGTGTTCTAGGTATTTGAAGTATTTGAATCACTAAAAAAAGTTACTAAAATAAATGGTTTATAAACATACGTGCTAAGGCAAGTTTCACCTGGAAGATACTGATGACAAAACTCCCACTGATTTTTGGTAGTACCAGATATTAAGACACGCATTCTTACTATGAATGTAGCTTAGTTTGGGAGAGGAGATAGGCCAGCTAGCCGTGCTAGTGCTTACGCTTTTTGTGATACGCCGTCTTGCGGGCTTCCAGCGGCAAGCACAGCAAAGGAATGCTTGTTTAAAAAAACACTGCTGCCATCGGTCTTAGTTTTCTAGCGTGGTGGAAACACATTTGTTGTCCTTGTTATTTATTAGTATATGTTACAAAATCTGCGTCCTTTGATAAGTTCACCTAAACTATATCCATTTAAAATAACATTTTAATAGATAAAAATGTAAATCCCGCCTACATTATTCAGTCTCTGCTAATTTTATGTATATATCTGTAGTATCATTAGTGCAGAGTTGCATCACTGTATCCTAGCATTCACTGAGTGATGCAAAGTGGAAAAAAAAAATCATTACTACAAAGGCAGTTCACTGTCATACAAGAAAAGTTGCTTCTGAAGTTTTCTACTAAACATTATAAATAGACAACTTAGGCTGTCAAAATTCTACTTGTTAACATCAGTTATATTAAAGATGTAATATTAATTGTAGATTAGGGAGGATGTCCTTAATTTTGAGATCTTGGACCTACAGAAGACAGTGACATACCTCCTGTTCGGAATGTGAGTTTATTTTCCACATGGAATTGTGAATTTTACAAATAGTTTTGGGGGTAGGTTGCTTGACTGGAAGTTTTCATATTAATGAATAGGCATGTGATCACACATCAAAAGAAAAATCAGAAATCACATTTGGAAATTGGCTATTGGATATTGTGTACTTCAATGATGAATGTAATCATTCAATAGTCTGAAATCACTGGAGCTTCTTACTCAATACAAAGAAAGCAAACAGTCTGAACTTTGTGTTGAAAATTACCTGTGCTGAACAAACCTTGCAGTAGTAGGAAAAAGGGCCCTTAAAATACATGAACAGAAGAAAACATACATGAAAACTTAACAGTCATTTGAAATAAAAGTTATTTTGTACTCAAACCTATGTTTCCTTTTATCTTTCTTTTCAACAAATGAAACAAAATAATGGACCAAACAACAGAAGAAACAAGTCTCAAAGGAATGAGTCAAATCTTTCATTTATGATGGAAGAGCATAGTTTTACTAAACCAATAAAATCCAGTGGATTATGAAACCCTAACTGGAAGCCAAGTAATCTTTTTTCTTTCTTTCTTCCTTTCTTTTTTTTTAATGAAGCTGCTTCTTGGACTAGAGAAAAATTGGTTGATTGAACATCATTTTATAGCAAATAGGATATGAAAAACTAAAACTGAAACAGATTACTGCAGGCTTTTAAAAGTCCTTCTTACTTCTGCATTCTCTCAGATCTCTAATAGCTATTTTTTATTTTTAGCGAGTGAGCCTGAAAAAATACTGCCTTACATAAACTGTGTTAGATGCACTTCAGTGTCCTCTGCCACCATTGTAAGTTTTAATTCTTAGACTGTGATCCTACGATGATGCCAGAATGCATTTAATTTTTTATGTTGGGAGATGAATGAAATCTTGGGTGTGCTGAAGTCAAAGGCAACTGCTGAGTGGAGCCAGGACTTCACAGCAGAAGTAGTCGTATTACTTTGATACTAACACACCTGAAGTTAAGTGTAAGTTTACACATTTTGGTGAATTGGGGGCATTAGCCACTTAAATTTACCAAGCGGAAAAAAACTGTTTCCCACTTTGGTCCTTCTAAAAATAGATACTAAAAAATCTGTCGGACATATGTGGACTGACAGTATAGCTCTGAAGAGAGTTGAATGAATCGTGGGGTTTTCTACCTGCTAAGCAAAAAATGGCATATTCCAGAAAAATGCAATGTACCCTGAGTGTGCGTGGGGGCTCCTTTGGAAGGGGATGTTTTTGCAGGGTGCGTGGGGTTCCTCGGGCACACGAGTCTCAGTAGCTTTTCAGGCCTTTTCAAGCTGTAGGCTCCATCCTCACAGGGTATGTGGACAAGCAAAACCAACTTGTTAAAATGAGCTTATTGTAAAAAGAATGGTAACAACAGTGACTAGGTGTCTCCTCAATTCATGAAAATACTTGGTTTTGGTAAAGGAAAAGAACTGAAGGACACTGAAGGAAAAAGAACTGAAATCAGATATGTTGATAAATGGTATGATGGCACGTTTTGCTGCAGTGAGCTGGTAAAAACGTAGTGAATGGAATCCCGTGCGGCTAAGATGACATTGGTTGCTCGAAGATGCCTTGAAAGCTTTGTGCTTAGAACACCAGACAGTATTTTCTCCGAGAAGAAAACAGCAGTCGAGTGTGGGCTAAGGCGCATTCATTCCTTTCAAGTTGGTATTTTCCGAACTAGACTTTAAAACCTAGTAAAAGTCCATGAGTCATGCTCGCCTTACATAGGGCTTAGGGAGAACTGAGAATGTTGCAAGTCCTTTGCATTTTGGAATTACTGATCTGATTGACTCAAAAGTGACATAGTAGTATTAGGCTTTTTTTTTTTTTTTTCTTTCTATATTCTTGTTTTGGGAGTACCACAATGACCTCAAGCCACAGCTGTGTGTTAAGTCTTTGCATTCTCGAGGACATTAGAACAATACATACTAATGGTCTCACTCCCGGCTCCTTCTCTCTCCCTGCCTCTCTTTCTTTTTTTAGACAAGTCCATTTCTGAAAGAGTGTATGCCTGTATATCCTTTCAATTTCCATTTATCCTTGCAGAATGAGCACTTTCTTTACTGCAAAAGAAAAAATACCACCCTTTACCTCAACTAGTTTTCCATTAGATGTTAACATAGAATAACTTAAGAACTGCAGTGATCCGCTAAGTAGAACAGTACCGTCAGGTAATGTTAGTCTGTTAGGCAATGCAAGATGAAACTGTTATGGATCAGTGGAGCAGAGTCAGATAAAAATAGGAGGCTTCATTAGCAGCTGTCCATAAGGAGACTTGAATCTGCCGCATTATCTTTTCTGGTATTACTACCACTTTAATGTACATAATTTTCTAATAGATTATATTATTGGACCAATAGAAAGAGTGACTATTCTGTCTGTATTTTTATGAAATAGTATGTTATGATTAAAAGTAGTAAATGGAACAACTTAAATTACACAGTTTAAAAAAATAATGTGAATAAGCACAGGAGAAAAAGCTGGAGAGAAGGGCGCAAATATTTTGGATTGGTTTACACTACGAAGAAATATGCTGCCAAACTTTCCTGTAGCTTTGGTTTAGTTTTGCATTTTAATTTTTTTTTCTTCATTCATTCTGACCCCTTTACTTTTTACACTTCAATTCATTACTACAACTTTACAAGGCAAACATCTTTATTGCTTTAATATAAGGGTATGTACAGAAATCTAACAGTATTCAAACCCTATAAAGCTATCTTTATTTCATTCATTCCCAACTGAAATTTAGACATGCAGAGAAGGCGCCAATCAGGTTTGCAGTCTGCTGGCATGAGAAGTATCAGAGATTTAATGTTTCTGTATTTGCAAACATACCATGAAAGCTTTTCCAGACATGACACCCAAACAAACAGGTTTTTTTTGGATAGAGATTGTGCGTTTCCAGAACAGTGGCTAAATGCATCCAGCATTTAGTATATTTGTAGCGGAATTGAAGTATATTTGCTGAAATATAACTTACAGAATGACCCAATCCTTCAGAGTTCTCGGGAAAGCTGTTTACTTCCCTCCTTCAAAAGCTACTCAGTGCTTTACCAGTCTGTGTACTGATGCTCTAACCCTGTCGAAGCTTAGGTTACTGTGTAAAATTGTCTTGGAATTAATAGTGTAACATTCAAAAAGTTAAGCACAGGCATGTCGGTTGCTACTCTGTCATTGATTCCTTCAGCTTGGTAGTGTGCATCTGAGAAATGTTTGTAGTTCCACAACATATGGGTAGATACCATAAAAATATTATTTATGGAGGCTCTGGCTTGCTTTTGTTTTTTAGGCATGTTTCACAACTAATTGATAGTCTTAATTCACACACACACAAACTAAAAGATGCATCCATGTTAACCTTGAACATATAGTTGACTTAATTATGTTGGTAAGTAGAAAGCTTGATGCTACCTATATAGTGGAGTCTGGCTACGTGTTATTTCTGGCCTGTTGATTAAAAGGACCTTGTTAACGTATCAGCAGACTCTTATTACAAAAGGTGGAGGTGAAATCCACACTGAGCTAGAAATGGAAGAAGTACTGCTCTTACCTGAGATGTTCATATGAACCTCCATGGAGCCTTACCGGTTCAGAAGTTATTTGGTGGGGGGTATGTGTTTCCTAAATAGCTCTGGAAGAGTATTTCTGCAAGTTGGGAACTGAAGCAAGTCCAGGGAACGTGTCTAGCATGTTGCACAACAAGCACAAAAAGGTCTCACTAATGAGCCTTTGCACCTTCCCTGCCATGTCATTTAATGTCTCCTATATCTCTGCTCTCCATAAAGCCTAAGAGCTAGTTTTATGCAGTTAAGGTCGGTTTCTTTATAAAAGCAGACAGCATTTCCTTTCCTTCCAGGGCAAGAATGCACAGATGTACGAAAAAATGCTCACAAAAGAGACCTAGGGGTGAGCACAAAGCATTTTTTTAGAGGAGCAAACCAACTTTGTCCTTGATTTCCCCAGTACAAGGCCATGGGTTGCTGCTTGTTCTGAACAGGGTGAGAACTATGGTTTAGGAGATCTTATTTTGCCACGGGAGTTTGCATGTTGCTTTTATCAATCTGCTCTCTCTCCAATACATTTTCAGACTGTTCCACAAATGAATTTTTCGCCTCTTTGCAGAAATCGAATCCTGTTTTCCTGCCCTGGCTCTCTCTTGGTTGCTATTTTAACCCTGCCAAAGCCAAAGCTTATGAAATGATCCTACCTTTCAATCATACCCTCTTGAAGTTACCTTCCTAGAATCCTTCTTCTGGTTCCAGTTTATCCTCTCAGAGTTAAACTGTTATTTCCCTGCAAGGCGTTGCCCAACTGCTACTCAGCCAATGTTTCAGATCCTGTTTCTTATCTACCTCAAATTTTTCTCCATGCTGTCTTAAGTGTGTTCTTCCTTTTTCCATCTACACTCTTCGGTATGGCTGACGTACATGCAAGAAACATCCAGAAGCAATATTCTGTCACTATTCCATCGGCCCCAAACCATCAGTTGTTTTACTGTGACTTTTCTGTTGATAACTACAGGTCAGTCATGTCTCTTCCATGCATTTACGGTGTGTAAGAAAAGTGTGCAAGCCTGAGAGTAAACAAAAGAAAGAAAGAAAAAAAAAGATGTTTTGTGTGATGTCTCTTCTTTTCCTGAGCTTTTAGCTTCATAAGGGTGTGCGCCACAGAGAAGATTCTGTGAATGGCTATAGTGGAAATCAAGCATGATCCAGACATGACAATGCTGATGGTTAATATCTAATACCAGTGATATACCCAGTATTTAGCAGACCCTTGTGTAAAAATAGAGTATTTGTAACTAAGCCAAATGAGTGGAAAAAGATTGAATCTAACTTTCTTAAAATGCACTCTTTTAATTCCAAGATTTTAGGTAATAATTACTTGTGCTAGAAGGAATGTGCCTCAAAGAAAGTGAAGTCTCATTTTGAAGGGGCCTGTAAACTCTTTAAATAGCATTGGCAATTTGTCCT